TGCACTGGCATGGCGATTCCCACCTAGCAATGCACCTAGATGAGCCTGCCTGACCAAAGTGCTCTGCTTTCCTATTTTACATGCTGGCATTTTTGCTATGTTTTCATCACCTAGCGATGCACCTAGATGAGCCGGCCTGAACATTTTTCACATTTGTGAACAATTTTCCAAATCCATGAAAAAAATTCAAATTCAAATATATATTTTGAAATCAGAAAATAGTTTTTAAATTTTGCGAACATGTTCTGAAATTGGAGAATAATTTATAAATTAGTAATACTTTTCAAAATCAGAAAGAAAATTTTAAATATGTGAACATTTTTGTAATTAAAGAACATTTTTATATTGGTGAATATTTTTACAAAAAAATAAAATTCGTAGCAATTTTTTGGTATCCAAGAACTATTTTCAAATTAATGAACATTTTGTTCGAAATATGTGACAATTTTCAAATGCAAGAACATTTTTTATTGTAGGAACATTTTTTAAAATTCATGAATATTTTTTGTAGTTCTTAAAAATTATTAAATATGCGACCTGGCACACGTGCGCTACTGAGACGTGGTGAGTTGCCGCTGTGCATGATCGATACGTGTACAAAATTTGATGAAACTGATCTCGGTTACTTTTTGCTGCCGCTTTGGGTGGGTAGGTGGGGATGGGGGGCGGTCATGTGAGGTTGCCTTATGCCGCCAACCTTCTGCTCATTTGCATACGTCGTCAACACCTCCCGGACATAAGAAAAAAACATATGCCAACATGAAAAGGGCCCACGAAAAAAACATATGACTTTAAATTTGACAAACTTTTTTTTTATTTTGATGAACATTTTTTAAATTCGGTGAAGAAACTTAATTTGATGAAGATTTTTCTACATTGATGAAAAAGATTAAGTCGATGAACAAATAAATGTACGTGAATTTGAAAAGAAAAATCACAAAAAAGTGAAATAGAAAAAACGAGAAAATACAAAGAAAAAACGAAAGGAAAAAAACTGGAAAATGGGCGGGGCCATACGAACGCTCAGCACCAGGTCCCTCGCGGGCGACCTGCGCACCTTTTAGGATCCCCGCACCTAGATGAACCCAGATGAGCCGGCCTGACCAAAGTGCTCTGCTTTCCTATTTTACATACTAGCAGTTTTGCTGTATTTTTTGGGGGTTTTTTGTGCTTTTTCTTTTCCCTTTTGACTTTTTCTTACAATTATTTTTTCCTTTCTTCTTTTTACTTTATTTTCTTTTTCTTTATTTTGAAGTCACCTATACTTTAACGGAATCATGAATATTTTACAGAATCTGGGAACATTTTTCACATTTGTGAACAATTTTCCAATTCCAAGAACAAATTTCAACTTCAAAAATATATTTTGAAATCACAAAATAATTATAAATTGTGTGAACATTTTCTGAAGGATAATAATTTATAAATTAGTAATACTTTTCAAAATCGTAGAGAAATTTTGAAATACGCGAAAAAAATTGTAATTAAAGAACATTTTTATAACCGTGAATATTTTGACAAAAAAAATAAAATCCGTAGCAATTTTTTGGTATCCAAAAACTATTTTCAAATTAATGAACATTTTGTTGGAACTATGTGACAATATTCAAATGCAAGAACATTTTTTATTGTAGGAACATTTATTAAAATTCACGAATATTTTCTGTAGTTCTGAAAAAATATTAAATATGCGACCATATTTTGAAATCTAGGAACAGTTTTTAAATTAGTGTAATTAATTTTTTTAAACTTGGAATTTTCTTCAAAACCACCAACAATTTTGGAAATTCTAGAAATTTTTCAAATTTTTAAAATGCCAAAAAAATTCAAATCCGTGAACCTTTTTTGGAATTCGAGGACACTTTCCAAATTCGTAATATTCTTAAAGTTTTGGATCTCCTTTTAAAGTTCATAGTTTATTTTCAAATCTCGAAACAAATAAAGAAGAAAAATGCAAAAATAGAAAAGAACAAACAGAAGACAAAAAAACGAAAGTAAAAAACGCTTCCCGCCTCGCATATGGGCCGACTCAAAAGCGCGCAGGGGAGCTGGGGTGATGTTTCCTCGCTATTCAGAGCGTAGGTCATTGAATAGGAGCTCTCATCTGGCGTCCCTCGCATTTTTTGAACTGATTTGTCGCCTCTTCTCATCACATAAGAGTTGTAACTCAAAC